TGTCATCTTGCTTCCTTGAGCTTCTGGCAAAGATATCTCTAATGAGACAGTGAGGGGTATTTTTTTATATACACCCCTTTATACTTTTTAACCCTTAATAAGGAACACATGAAATGGGCGGCAGCATTGTAACATAGCTGTGTGATACAAAAAGTGAATACAAATACAGAAAAACAAGTCCTGTGCTCAAACTCCCATCACTCCTGGGTGGCAGCAACGACCATAGTACATATCAGCCCCAATACATACAGTAAAAACCAAAGAAAAAAGGTACCTGCGCTCTCTCCTAAATCCCTATGTGTATTTAAACAAATATTTTTTTAGTATATTTTTAGGGGATCTTGTACCTTTTGAAGTGTGTTTCCTGTAAGAAAAGGACACTATAACGACATTTTCTAGTGTCTTTGTAAATCAGTATTAGTTTGTGTGGCGTGTTCAGGCCCCTTAGATTATATGATAATATTTTCAATACCATTTTTTTCCCTCTTCTTTTATAGGTGGGTCCTACACTGACTCCTCTTCTCCCGTAGGTGGGTCCTACACTGACCTGTCACCTTGCTTCCTTGAACTTCTGGCAAAGATAGATCTCTAATGAGACAGAGAGGGGTATTTTTTATATACACCCTTTCATAGTTATTAACCCTTAATAAGGAACACATGGGATGGGTGGCATTTGTACTATGGTCATTGTTGCCGCCCAGGAGTGATGGGAATTTGAGCGCAGGAATTGTTTTTCTGTATTTGTATTCACTATTTGTATCACACAGCTATGTTACAATGCTGCCGCCCATCCCATGTGTTCCTTATTAAGGGTTAATAAGTATGAAGGGGTGTATATAAAAAAAAACCCTCTCTGTCTAATTAGAGATATCTTTGCCAGAAGCTCAAAGAAGCAAGGTGACAGGTCAGTGTCACCTATGGGGTTTGCCTTGACGTGGCAGGTGGGCATTCCCTCCAATGGCCATTGGAGTAACTAAATGACCTCTATTTGTTTAAATATACATAGGGATTTAGGAGAGAGAACAGGTAACTTTTTTTCTTTGGTTTTTACTAAAAATAATACTATAACTCATCATTTCTTTATGAGTATTTAGCCTTAACGTGTAAGAGTATTATAATAATCTGTAAATAGTTCACATTTTATAAATAACCTCTATTTTTTAATTAACCGAATGGACTGTTTGTGGTAATTTAATGAAAAAAAAATTAAATAAAAAAGGTTGTTTTTTTTTTACTATTATAAGGAAATGTCATGTAAGTTATAATTTAATAAATTAAAGAACTATATAAGAGGGGGAAGGGAGGTGGAGGACTTGAGAGGGGGAGAGGGACAGAATAGAGAGAGTTAGTTTTCTTATTTTATGTATTTGTTTTTTTTCTTTTATTGTTAGGCTAATATATATATATATATATATATATATATATATATAATAATAATTATTATATACTGTAATTAAAACTTTTGTAACTGTTATTAGATATAAAACATTAATCATATTAGTTAATTTAGTTTATAAATAAAAATATCACCTGCTTTATTAAAGGACCACTATAGTGCCAGGAAAACATACTAGTTTTCCTGGCATTATAGTGCCCTGAGGGTGCCCCCACCCTCAGGGTCCCCCTCCCGCCAGGCTCTTACCTCTTTCTCCAGTGCCGGGCGGGGAGCTTTCCTCTCCGCCTCCTCTCCTCCTCTTCGGCTGAATGCGCATGCGCGGCAGAAGCCGCGCGCGCATTCAGCCAGTCCATAGGAAAGCATTCTCAATGCTTTCCTATGAACGCTGGCATTTTCTTACTGTGATTTTCACAGTGAGAAGCGCGGAAGCCCTCTAGTGGCTGTCAATGAGACAGCCACTAGAGGCTGGATTAATCCATTTATAAACATAGCAGTTTTTCTGAAAGCTGAAGTGGTCTGGGTGAGTATAGTGGTCCTTTAAAGGACCACTATGGTGCCAGGAAAACATACTCGTTTTCCTGGCACTATAGTGCCCTGAGGGTGCCCCCACCCTCAGGGTCCCCCTCCTTCCGGGCTCTAGGGGGTGGAAGGGGTTAAACTTACCTCTTTCTCCATATCGCTGTCATCGGCTGAATGCCGCGCGCGCATTCAGCCAGTCCATAGGAAAGCATTCACAATGCTTTCCTATGGACGCTGGCGTCTTCTCACTGTGATTTTCACAGTGAGAAGCGCGGAAGCCCTCTAGAGGCTGGATTAACCCTATTATAAACATAGCAGTTTCTCTGAAACTGCTATGTTTATAGAAAAAAGGGTTAAACCTAGCTGGACCAGGCGCCCAGACCACTTCATTAAGCTGAAGTGGTCTGGGTGCCTATAGTGGTCCTTTAATAATAATTATATATGAATTAGATTGTTTATTTTAGACATATTATTTTATTATTTATAATTTATACAAATAAAAGATAATTTTATTAATGCCGGTTGGTCATTTCACTCACCCCAGTCAGGCCTGTAAATTATTGAAGGCAGACATGTTTTAGTCATCCCTTTTAAGGCCTTTTTCTTTTTGTACATATATTCATTTTTATTTTTTGGTTTATGATTTCTTACCAAGTTTCTATTCCCTGTTTTTATTGTTTATGTCTTTCACTATGCATCCAGATTGTCAATGCATACGTCACTTACTCAATCCAAAAAACAAAATTGATAACTTATTTTTTTTTTTGTAATGTGTTGGTCGACTGAGGGATAATTGCTTTGGATTTTATTTGTAGTTAAATGGCTACATTTGATTTGTTTGGTGTGTTTCAGGCCTCTTTTGGTTTTTCTTTCTTTTCATATAAAAGAAGAGGGAAAAAAATGGTATTGAAAATATTATCAAATAATGTAAGGGGCCTAAACACGCCACACAAATGAACATTGATTTACAAACACACTAGAAAATGTTGTTATGATGTCCTTTTCTTACAGGAAACACACTTCAAAAGGGACAAGATCCCCCAAAAATATACTAAAAAATGATTCCACACAATTCCATTCCACGTTAAGATTGACAGGCAGTCCCCCTGATTTAAAATTTTAAAAATATTAAAAAGATTAACACAATGTTAGTCAAGCAATCAGTGTAATAAAAATATATACATATATAACCCATAATAAGTGTAATTACAATAATAAATACATTAAATACATTAAATAATAAAAAATAAAACAAATTATATATATATGCATTTCCATTCTAAAAGTATTTTGATATTAATATACTTAGAATTAAATTATTTCTGTATGTCTATATATATATATATATATATATATAGATATAGATATATAGATATGTAGTAAGGATAGCACTCCAAGAACTTAAAAAAAAATATATAGTGAATAAAACTAAGCTTTTATTCAGGCATCTGCCAGTAGTAGATCAACGTTTCAGTTCTCTAATGGAACTTTCATCAGGATACAGTGCAGTACAAAAAAACAGTGCTTGAATAGCATACATACATATTAACATAATCAAAACAATGTATACAAGCTATACTTACAATTGCCCTGAATGTGTTAGCAGCTGGTGCGAAAAAAATCGCAGGTAAATTTGACCCGATATGCAGAAAACCGCTGGTTCAGAGGTGAACTGGAAAGCTATGATTGCGTTCCATTGGTCATCATAGCGACCATTTGGAACGCATGGGGGTGTGTTTGCAATGGAATGCGAGCAGCCAATCATGCTAGTGTGGCTGCAGCGAAAGATCCGCCCACTCTGGATGCGGCTATCACAGTGCTCTGCACATCGCTCTCATATAGGGAGTAGTAAGGATATGGATGGGCGAAAATAAGGGGAATAGAGTCACTGGTAGGTGAAAAGCAGGGCTAGGTGGACAGACATGTCTAACACCAATGACACTAAACAAACTGGCCTCTAGGGAATAAAGAGACCGGCAGGGAAAGAATGTACAGAAATAGTAATAGATGAACCATAGGGAGTTAGTTAGACTTACTTAGTGGCCATCTATGTCATTAAAGGTACAGACCAGGTAGCAAATGCTGGTCATGTTATAGAGCCCATAGGATTGTATGGGCAATATGGGCATAGAATAGATATGACTCTATAGACAAGGCATATGAGTAAAGGATACAAATAATGATCCAGTTGGAGAATGCAAAGCATGAAATAGACAATACATCTGATCAATAACAGTAGTATTAGTAGGATAAACTATAACTAGCATTAGGCATTAGATACAAACTGGCTGCTGCAAATGCAATAGTTGCCAATATTAATTGAAATAAAGCATGTACCCAGGGTTATAGTTATACTGTTGAAGAAGAATGTATGATCATGGCCTGAGTACAGTGAGTTACTGGTCCACTACTGTACATACTGCCTGATCAAAAAATGCAAACTACTAAATACAAAGTATATTCACAAAATATTAGATTAGATTGATGTATCATAGGAATATTCCCAGGGAGTATTTTTCGTTAAGTCCTTTGGGATGTGCTGTATCGAGAGTTCTTATCCAATAAAGTTCTTTCTGTAATAACAGTTTTTTGCGGTCACCGCCGCCTATGGGTAAGGGTATGTGGTCGATTGCCAAAAATTTCATGAATGGCAATGGATGATTATGCTCAAGGAAATGTTTTGCCACTGGCCAAGTCTGTTTGTCTCTATAGGCCTCCCGGCTGTTAAGCACCGGGCTCTAACTTCCAATCCTGGAGTGCAAGCAATTGGAACTTTGTATTTTTGGACTGGATAGCATCAGACCAGCTTTGTACCCGATTACATGTACTTTATCCCTTTTTGATATACATTACAGCGGTCATCGTTGGAATTCCAGACTGCATGTTATTTTTTTGTATGTATATATCTACAATATTACTGCAACTACAGCTGAAAGGCACTAAAGTTCACTGCCTTATTGCTTTTAGTGCTTCACCTGTATAGTGGTGTGTTTTTTTAACACCGTATACACATTTTTCTTTTGTTTTTGCTTGCTGTTTGCACTATATTTTTTTCATCACTGTATACATCTGGCAAGTTATATCTATGGAAGATTTCTTCACACTGGCTGGTGGCTTATCTGAACAAGCAGAGACACTTCAATACACTGATGATGATGCTGAACGAATCAGATGGGACACACTAACCTCTGACTTACCTCAATCCACTACTCAGAAAGACATCTATCAGGAACTTATAAGCCTGAAAAAGGAGGCAGACCTTGACCTCCACGGCCTGTTCCTGTCAGACTACCACATGCGACTGCAAATACTACGTGGATTCAGAAAAAAAAAATATACATGCAATAGGTAAAGCTAAACCTAAAGTCTGCGGAAAATGGATAGCAGTCCTCAATAAATGCTCACTAGACCTCATCATAATCATTATTGAAGAAAACTTGGGAAACCCTCCTGCTCACATCTACAGAAGCAGTGCCCATGGTCCTTAAACTCAACCAGGCCGTAAAGGAGTACAAAACTGACCAAGTCAGATTTAAACGCGAGAAGGTTGAGAAAGTCAAAGCCGACTACTCTGAAGATAGAGTATACAAGTGGCTGAATGGCCACAACGAGCAACCAAGATTTGCAAGGAATCGCCGCCCTATCAGAAAGCCTCGACAGTTCACGATCAACAGGACATCTGCTGAATCCACCTCAGATTTTGACAATCAACGTAGACCGGAAAACTCAGGACCCTCTGTACATTTTTTAGAGAGAGGCAATACTTCAACAGGCATAACTACAAGGCAGCAGTCCAGACAAGAGTTTAAAGCAAACAATACATCACTCGATGTGGACAGAGGGGCAACACATTCTGGAGCAAGAGGCAGACATCCACGACGGAGATAATGCCCATCTTCAATCTATCCACCCGCACCTTGACACAACAAGGAAACTCTCTACTCATGAAAGGACTGTCACCAACTAACTTTCCAGACCCATTATCACAGGAAATTGAAATATACAAATTCGGCAGATCTTTAAGACTTAAAGACTTCTTCAAAAAGACTACAAATCTATTCAGTGGTGCTTCCAACGAATTCCAAAAGCTCATTTGATCCCCTGCCTATTCAACCTACTATTAAAGCTTTCCTTAGATCAATCAATCAAGAGACACAACTACACCTCAAAGAACACTTCACACCGACTACCAATATTACGAAGGAAGAAAGGAAAATAATTTCTTCACTAGCCAAGGACCCTAACCTGATTATCCACTCAGCGGATAAAGGAGGCGGCATAGTTCTCCTGAACTACAACGACTAAAAAGGGAAAATATTATCACAACTTCAAGACACATCGACCTATCTAAAACTACCAGCTGATCCAACAGAGAAGATAATGCTGACTATCTTTAACACACTGCAAAGAGGTCTAGATGCATCATATATAACCACAGAACTTTTTCAGTATCGTTACCAGAAACATCCTAAAAACCCCCATCATTTACACACTACCCAAGATGCACAAGGATCCTACGAAGCCTCCAGGTAGATTGATTGTCTCAGCCATTGGGGGAGCATTGGAACCAATAGCCAAATGGCTCGACTTTCTTTTCAAATAAACTATTGAGAACCTACCAACCTGCATCAAAGAAACCCCAAGCCTACTCCTATCTGTGAAACAAAAAATGACATAGATGGCCACTAACTAAGTCTTCCTCCCTATGGTTCATCTATTACTATTTCTGTATATTCTTTCCTTTACGGTCTCTTTATTCCCCAGAGACCAGTTTGTTTAGTGTCATTGGTGTTAGACATGTCTGTCCACCTAGCCCTGCTTTTCACCTACCAGGGACTCTATTTCCCTTATTTTCGCCCATCCATATCCTTACTACTCCCTACACTACAAGAGCGATGTGCAGAGCACTGTGCTAGCCGCACCAGAGTGGGCGGATATTTCACTGCAGCCACACTAGCACGATTGGCTGCTCGCATTTCATTGTGAACACGCCCCCATGCGTTCCAAATGGTCTCTATGACGAGCAATGGAACGCAATCATAGCTTTCCAGTTCACCTCTGAACCAGCGGTTTTCTGCATATCGGATCAAACTTACCCACAATTTTTTCGCACCAGCTTCTAACACATTCAGGGGCAATTGTAAGTACAGCTTGTATACATTTTTTTGATTATGTTAATATGTATGTACACTGCTCAAAAAAATAAAGGGAACACTTAAACAACACAATGTAACTCCAAGTCAATCACATTTCTGTGAAATCAAACTATCCACTTACTAAGCAACACTGAATGACAATTAATTTCACATGCTGTTGTGCAAATTAGATAGACAACAGGTGGAAATTATAGGCAATTAGCAAGACACCCCCAATAAAGGAGTGGTTCTGCAGGTGGTGACCACGGACCACTTCACAGTTCCTGTGCTTCCTGCCTGATGTTTTGGTCACTTTTGAATGCTAGCGGTGCTTTCACTCAAGTGCTCAGGTAGTACAGCTCATCCAGGATGGCACATCAATGCGAGCTGTGGCAAGAAGGTTTGCTGTGTCTGTCAGCGTAGTGTCCAGAGCATGGAGGCACTACCAGGAGACAGGCCAATACATCAGGAGACATGAAGGAGGCTGTAGGAGGGCAACAACCCAGCAGCAAGGCCGCTACCTCCACCTTTGTACAGAGCTCTGCAAAATGACCTCCAGCAGGCCACAAATGTGCATGTGTCTGCTCAAACGGTCAGGAACAGACTCCATGAGGTTGGTATGAGGGCCCAACGTCCACAGCTGGTGGTTGTGCTTACAGTCAAACACCGTGCAGGACGTTTGGAATTTTCCATAGAACACCAAGACTGGCAAATTCGCCACTGGCGCCCTGTGCTCTTCACAGATGAAAGCAGGTTTACACTGAGCACATGTGACAGACGTGACAGAGTCTGGAGACGCCGTGGAGAATGTTCTGCTGCCTGCAACATCCTCCAGCATGAACGGTTTGGCAGTGGGTCAGTAATGGTGTGGGGTGGCATTTCTTTGGGGGGCCGCACAGCCCTCCATGTGCTCCCAGAGGTAGCCTGACTGCCATTAGGTACCGAGATGAGATCCTCAGACCCCTTATGAGACCATATGCTGGCGTGGTTGGCCCTGGTTTCCTCCTAATGCTAGACAATGCTAGACCTCATGTGGCTGGAGTGTGTCAGCAGTTCCTGCAAGACGAAGGCATTGATGCTATGGCCATCCACCAACGTCACGTTGCACCACAGACTGTCCAGGAGTTGGCAGATGCTTTAGTCCAGGTCTGGGAGGAGATCCTTCAGGAGACCAACCGCCACCTCATCAGGAGCATGCACAGGCATTGTAGGGAGGTCATACAGGCACGTGGAGGCAACACACACTACTGAGCCTCATTTTGACTTGTTTTAAGGACATTACATCAAAGTTGGATCAGCTTGTAGTGTGTTTTTTCACTTTAATTTTGAGTGTGACTCCAAATTCAGACCTCCATGGGTTGAAAATTTTGATTTCCATTTTTTTTATTTTTGTGTGATTTTGTTGTCAGCACATTCAGCTATGTAAAGAATAAAATGTTTCAGAAGAATATTTAATTCATTCAGATCTAGGATGTGTTATTTTTGTGTTCCCTTTATTTCTTTTTGAGCAGTGTATGTTATTTAAGCACTGTTGTTTGTACTGCACTGTATCCTGACGAAAGTTCCATTAGAGAATTGAAACATTGATCTACTACTGGCAGATGCCTGAATAAAAGCTAAGTTTTATTCACTATATATTTTTTTTAAGTCCTTGAAGTGCTATCATTACTACATATGTATTATTTGGCTGTTAAGCACCGGGCTCTAACTTCCAATTCTGGAGTGCAAGCAATTGGAAATATATATATATATATATATATATATATATATATATATATATATATATATATATATATATATATATATATATATATATATATATAATTACATACTATACATACTATTACTATACACGTAGGATTTATATATATATATATATATATATATATATATATTTAAATTCAATGTGTATATTTATGTAATCTTTTAACATAATTAAGTAATTGTATTAATTATAATTTGAGGGACTAGCCTGACAACCTAGGCAGCAAGTCCAGATAATTTAATTTGGAAGTCCTATATTTATCCCTGTAACTTTCCAAAACACCATAAAACCTGGACAAGGGGGTTACTGTTGTACTTGGGAGACTTTGATGAACACAAAAATGTGTGTAATAAAATAGTAATTCTTATCATGACAATGATATCTCCATGAAAAGTGCAGTTTTTGTGTAAAAAATGCACAAAACAAATATGAACGTTAAATTTGGCCAGCATTTGTGACTAAGTGGCTACTAAAAAACACTTGACGTACCCCAGTTTTAATACCCTGGGGTGTCTACTTTTACAAATGATATGCCAAGATGGGGTTAATTTTCATTTCTGGGCACCTATATGGTCTCAATGGCAACATAGGTCCAGCAAACCAATCTGGCAAATTTCAGTGGAAAGGGGGAAAACCCTATAAGTGACCCCTGTAAGTTTCTAAAAACTCATACAAACATATGACATAAACATGGGGGGGTACTGTGGTACTTAGGAGACATTGACAAATACAAATATGTGTGTTTTATTGCAGTACAATCTAACAATAGTGATGTCGCGAACCCGAAATTTTCGGTTCGCGAACGGCGAACGCGAACTTCCGCAAATGTTCGCGAACCGGCGAACCGCCCGAAACGCCATTGACTTCAATGGGGAGGCGAATTTTAAAACACACAGGGACTCTTTCTGGCCACAATAGGGATGGAAAAGTTGTTTCAAGGGGACTAACACCTGGACTGTGGCATGCCGGAGGGGGATCCATGGCAAAACTCCCATGGAAAATTACACAGTTGATACAGAGTCTGGTTTTAATCCATAAAGGGCAGAAATCACCTAACATTCCTAAATCACAATCAATATGGATTGACACCTGACATATGACATATTGACACCTTGACATATGGATTGACACCTGTCCTCAGAGCCCTGATGCACACGGACACAGAGCAGAATAGAGACTGGTCCCCCTACATAGGGTCACTTGGCAAATATGGATTGACACCTGTCCTAAGGATCCCTGATACACACTGACACAGAGCAGAATAGGGACTGTTCCCCCTACATCGGGTCACTTGGCAGATATGGATTGACACCTGTCCTAAGGTTCCCTGGTACACACTGACACAGAGCAGAATAGGGACTGTTCCCCCTACATCGGGTCACTTGGCAGATATGGATTGACACCTTGTTACAAACTGCTATTTGTAACGGGCCCTTTAAATGGCAAATTGCCCTGCTTCCCTGGGTTGTGGAGAAGCCTACTTGCCAGCCTCCTCCCGCATGACTATGGCCCCTGGGAGATTGTGAAAATGTATGCACTTTTATTTGGTGTGTATGGCCCTTTAAGACTGTCGGTGGGCATATTGGGGCTTATGGACTCTTTATGTGACTGGTGCTGGCCCTTTAAACACCTTTTTTGGGACATCAGGAAGATTGGGACACTGCCCCTTTAAGGCCGTGTCCCCAGACTTGTTGGGGACACGGCCCCTTTAAGACGGTGTCCCCTGTGTCCCCAGACCTGGTGCAAACCCTTTGTGCCTGCCTTGCTATTTCCCACTTGGTTCAGTAAATGGGAAATTATTTCAGCTGTAGAGACTAAGTCCCATTCGGCGATGGGACTTAGTCGTTTTTTCAGCCTGAAATAGACCGACCTCACAGCCCAAATCTATGGAACTGTTTTGGGCAGGAAAATGTGCTTGCGGTCGGTCATAAAGGGACCTCCAGCTAACTTTTTAACCCCTGGATGGATTTGGTTGATTTTTGGTTATG